GAATAGGTTACCTATGGCATTCAATACACGAGCAAGCTAAATGTACAGACGGCTGTGGGCAAAGTCCAGGACTCTACTCAAAACTCGAGAATTGAGTGAAGCCGGGTACCATTTCCACTTCACATTTGTCAGTACTCTATAGGTTACACACACGTATGGCCAGTAACATAAAGGATTTGTCCTTGACAGAAATGTCGGATGTTTTGAGCAAAATTAAAACTTATCCACCAGGAACCTCGCCACCCAAGTTATCACGTGATTTACGCATTTCTCATCCTACCCTAGCCAGGTTGATTGACAGCGCAAAGGAACTCCGACAGAATTCGTCGCATGGCACTACCAGCTCTCAGAAAAGGAAGTGATGTGAAAAGGATGAAGAAGTTGAAACTGCTTTGCAAGACTAGATGATATGGGTTCGTGAGCACAACCAAACAGTTACAAGCACGCTTCTGAAACAAAAAGCAGAAGAATTTGGGGAAAGACATACAAAAACCTTTGCTGCCACAGAAAGATGGCTGCAAAGTTGGAAGAATAGAAAACAAACTGTGGATAAACCTGTGCATGACGAAAAGAATCCCAAGGGAAGAGCATTCCGTGAGAATTGGCTGAAAGCTCGACTGTCTGAACTTGGAAACGCATTTGACGCTGACTTGGTGTACAATGCAGAAAAAACAGGGCTTTTTTGTTTTTCTGCCGACACGCTCAGCGGATCGAAAAAGGCCGTGGATAGGTTCACTCTCCTGGGCTGCGAGAATATGACAGGCACAGAGATAAGAAAACAGGTTTTGACAAGAAAAAGTTAGAAAGCACCATTTTTAATGGCGTGAATGTGGGTACGTTTCGCGTAGTTTACAGAGCTAACAAAAGTGTGTGGAAAACGAAAGTTTTATCACCGAGTGGGTCCTCGGAAGGGAAAGGAGCTAGACCAAAGCGGCCGAAAAACGATATTGCTCTTGTTTAATTGCACCTTGTATCTACAGGTAGAAGGTCTGAAAAACATTAAAATGGAGTTTCTGCCTGCAAACATGACCAACATTTTTCAACCCATGGACCAAGGTACTGATACTGATACTGATTGGAAGCAGCGAGTAGAGCATACTCTGTGTAGCTGTGTCAGTTGTCGCTCTTGGACATTAACGTATTAATTATGGTTCTGCTCTTTATATTTTGCCTCTACAAAGTGTTTGTCTAGAAGCTTCTTAAATTCGGCCACTGAATTCGCCTCTATTACCGGCCGCGGCAGGTTGTTCCATTTATTCACTACTCTACGTTCGAAACAGAGTTGGTGAGCTACCCGCTTCAACTACGGTACTGTCTGGACAAAACGACGAGGTCAATGCATCTGTCGGCCTGGCATAGTTGTTCTCGGTGTGCTGAACAAATTTATGAGAATCTCAACAGATGTCGATGTACTTCTTGGGCTGTGCGTCGTCGTCGATGAAACTGGCGTCTTTTAGACGCATTGTCGCTGTCCATATAGGCAACTTTCAAGCAATTGAAAGTGATCCACGCTTCACGTGTATATTGTGAAAGAATTTTCGTCGTATTGCAGGGTTCTAAATTTTGCTCATATGCAGAGACAAGGATCGTTTGACACCGACAACACTTAAAAAGTCGTACGTACAGATTCGGAGCTCTGGCGGTACAGAGATTGGCTATGCACACTGGTATTGATAGGTGCAAAAGGAGACATACTTGATGCGAATTGAATCCCAAGAGATGCGTCAAGTACAAGAAGCGGTAAAAATGTAGTCTCCTAGTAAACGAAATGGTTAGCCGAAAATAAGTTCGGCACTAGATACCGACAAGTCGATCATGGGGCTAACGTGGATACATATCCTGACAGTTGTCAACGCTTCTGTTGATTTAAGGTGTTCAACTGCCTTAAGGTTGCCTTCGAGATGACGATGGAACGTCATATATATATATCATAAGATTGCCCGTCGAGGTTCTACGGCTTCGTAGACCTATGGGAGCACGACATTTGCTTCGCGCTCCGATGCACTGCGTCCTTGACGGATCGAATGTAGCCGCATTGGGTTTGATAGTTCTAAAGCAAACTCTTTCGCTCTCCTTATGTAGGTGAACGTAGTAGTACATAAATAAATAAATAAATAATTTATACGTAGCAGTGCGTAGCACGCCTGTAAAGGCAAGTTCATCGTCATACAAACGTGTACGATCGGTACATGCGCCAAACTTTTTCAGTTTATCAAGAAAGACATGTGTATGTAGTCGTTTGTGCGTATGTACAAATAGTCATGTTCGGTGCATTTGTTAGTGTGACGCTGAATCTGTGTTTTCGTTCGCCCGATTCTTCATCGAAGAAATATAAACGGAAGAATTTGAATTGCATGATGTACGTGATGTATGTAAGGTTCTTTGAAATGGCAAGTAGCAGTGCGCATAGTTAGTAGCGTGTCATACCCTCCATGTCGCAGCATAGTTAGGCAGCTCTTTATGTTTTTTTACAGGGAGAACACTTGCAAGGCGTAAACCAAGCACGTCCTGGAACACTGCCGCCGAAATTTTTCGATGGATCGGGCTTAACCCAAAGCACTCTGCCAGACCCGTGAGAAAGTTGTTCTGTTAGCCAGGCAGTACAGTATGCCCCACCGCAGCTTTTGTGTTTTCTTGAGTGCCTGGCTGAAAACATGCACCCTTGTGTTCTTCATTTGAGTACCATGCAGGTATTTACTCCACGAGAGACAACAAATCAGTGCTAAAAAGCCTTATTGATCCATCTACGGCGTCAGTAAGCAAGAATTCGTTCTAGTTGCTCACTCTCAAAACCGTTAGATTGTAGTGGTTATTAATCTTTCACATTTTGTCTTTCTTGTCATCAATTTTATCATGGCATCTTTTGTACAGTTTGTTTGAATTAATGATTAATATACACTTCTTCGCGCCCCGCGTTCCGTCGTGCTGATTTCTGGCTGTGCTGCTTCTGCGTGTGTACGGTGCCGTCCAGTCTGCTTGAAAATCGGATAGTATATTCGGAATTATTATCGAACGTCTATTTCCATTGTGCTCGACGTGTGTCACAGGTATAGCGCAACCTACGACTCGAACTCGACTGTGATTAAACTGTGAGTTGACCCTCTCCAACTTTTTGCCTTTTATTAAGGGGTTGAAACCTTCCTAGTATTTTTCGACCACTACATAAATTGGTGACCCTGCCTTATTTTTTTTGAACACGTATTTTTCTTAGTCATGTCTGACCATACCCCATGTGTTTTTACGGACAATTCCGTCGAACTCTCGCTTCCTAACTTTGACATTTCCAATCCACGCGTATGGTTTATTCAGGTGGAAGCCACTTTTCGATGTCGTAAGATCACTTCACAGTCTTCCATGTTCTCTTACGTCGTCTCGCGCTTACCTGTCTCCATTGCATCTGAAGTCATTGATATTCTTGACCCTATGCCTGTTGAATCGCCGTATGATAAACTTAAAGCAGCTATCCTTAAACGCACAACTGCGTCTGATGAAGCTCGTCTGCAACAGTTACTTTCCGGCGTCGAGCTTGGCGATCGCACCCCATCCCAGCTTCTAAGGCACATGCGTTCCCTAGTTGGTTCGTCGAAACTCGACGATTCCATACTCCGCCAACTTTGGACCAAATGTCTTCCGGCAAACATCACAGCGATATTATCAGTTCTTAGCGACGATATCACGCTGGAGAAGCTCGCAGAAGCTGCGGACAAAACGCACGAATGTTTCTTTAAGAGTACTCTTAATCATCTAACTGAGTCCACCACAGCCAGCTCATCCCCTAGCACTACGCTTGATTCGATAAATGATAGAATATCCCGTCTAGAACTCAGCATGTCTGCTATTCGACGTGAACGCACTACCAGCCGAAGAAGTCCTCGTGATCCGCGCCGCAGCACATCACGCTCACGTCAGCGGTCGTACTGTTATTTCCACCGTCGCTTCGGTAAATCAGCACGTAACTGTCGCCCAGGATGCAAATATCCGAAAGGAACTTCGATTTCGCAACCGGGAAACGCCAAAGCCAGCCAGTAATGGCGACGGCTGTCGCTGGCCAAATCCTCAGTCGCCTTCTGTACGTGTTCGACTCCACGACTAAACTTCATTTTTTGGTCGATACGGGCGCAGAAATCAGCGTTATCCCACGTTCGTTGGAAAAACGCCCTCTGCAACAAGCCGGACTCACGTTACAGGCGGCTAACCAGACCAAGATCGCGACATACGGCCAGAAGCTGTTACACCTAAGCCTTGGTTTACGACGCGACTTTCCTTTTATCTTTACCATCGCTGATGTCCAGAAACCCATACTTGGCATCGACTTCCTTAGCAAATTCGGCCTCGTTGTCGACCTTCGTTGCAGGAAGTTACGGGACGACAGCACTTCGCTCACTGTCCCTTGCCATCTCGCCCCAGTCACTTCCGTTGGACTTCGCGTACTCATGCCAGACTCTTCGCCGTATTCCTCATTGCTTCAGAAATTTCCGTCTTTGGTCCGTTCTAATACCGACTCCACCGAGCCTAAACACGAGGTCCGTCATCATATCGTCACCACAGGTCCACCCGTGTCAGCCAAACCGAGACGTCTTCCACCTGACAAGCTCCAAGCGGCTAAACGCGAATTTGAGCACATGCTCAACCTCGGAATCATTCGCCCGTCCAACAGTTGTTGGGCTTCTCCGCTTCATCTTGTACCCAAAAAGTCCGGTGATTGGCGTCCATGCGGTGATTACCGGGCACTCAACGCCGTTACTATTCCCGACAGATACCCTATCCCTCATATTCATGATTTTTCATTGGGATTGTCCGGGAAATCAGTCTTTTCCAAGATTGACCTTGTACGAGCGTACCATCAAATTCCAATGGCATCTGAGGACATTGCTAAAACGGCCGTTATCACACCTTTCGGTTTGTACGAGTTCACTCGTATGCCTTTTGGCCTTCGCAATGCGGCACAGTCCTTCCAGCGCTTCATGGACCAGGTCCTCCGTGGTCTAGACTTTGTTTTTGTCTACATTGACGATGTTCTCATAGCCAGTGCCACGCCAGAAGAGCACTTGAATCACCTCCGACAAGTATTTGAACGTTTCGACCATCACGGGATAACCATTAATCCTGATAAATGCCTATTTGGTCAATGTTCCGTCGATTTTCTTGGTCACAAAATCGATAGCAAAGGCATTAGTCCCATCCCTGAGAAAACCCAGGCAATCATGGACTATCCACTGCCCCAATCCGTTAAAAACCTGCGCCGATTCCTTGGCATGGTTAATTATTACGGAAGATTCATTGACAATTGTGCTGCCGTTCTTCAGCCTCTAACTGATTTACTTAAAGGTAATCCAAAGAAGTTCATCATTACGCCAGAAGCCGAAACAGCGTTTGCTGCCATCAAGCAGAAGTTAAGCCAGGTAACTTCCCTGAGCTACTTGGACACCGACGAGAAAGCTACTCTCGTCCTCAAGACTGATGCTTCACAATCCGCTGTCGGTGCTGTACTTCAACAACTAATTGGCAATGAGATTCAGCCGTTGTCTTTCTTTTCTCGGAAGCTACAACCAGCACAAACGAGGTATAGTACTTTCGGTCGCGAACTTCTCGCGATGTACTTGGCCGTCAAGCACTTTCGTCACGTCCTTGAAGGACGACGTTTTGTAATTCTGACGGACCACAAGCCTTTGATCTACGCATTTCGTGCCGCTTCCGATCGCTATTCTCCGAGAGAGACACGACATCTAGATTACCTCTCACAATTTTGTGTCGACATTCGCTACCTCGATGGTCCGAATAATGTTGTCGCTGATGCACTTTCACGTGCTCACATACATCAACTGTCGTCCTCACCAATAGACCTTGAGGAAATGTCTGTTGCCCAGAACAACGATCCTGAACTCGCTCAGCTTCGATCGAATACCACATTGAAATTCTTGCAATTACCAATTTTAAACTCAGACGCAAGGATTTACTGCGATGTCTCCACCGGTAAGCCAAGACCGTTTGTTCCACAGTCTTTCCGGCGAACCGTCTTTGACCATTTTCATGGACTATCGCATCCTAGCATTCGATCTACTGTGAAGTTGATTACTGATCGTTTCATCTGGCCTAGTATGCGCTCTGATATCCGCCAATGGGCTAAACACTGTCTCAGCTGCCAGAGCAGCAAAGTACACAGACACACTATTTCTGCCCCCGGAACATTCTCACTACCTGAGGCACGTTTTAGACATGTCCACCTAGACATAGTCGGACCGCTTCCTCCGTCGAACAATTTCACTTTCATTTTGACTTGTGTTGATCGTTTTACTCGTTGGCCGCACGCCATTCCTTTACGTGACATATCTTCAGAATCTGTTGCCCGTGCATTTTTCGATTCATGGATTTCCTTTTTCGGTGTACCATCTACGATCACTACAGATCGAGGATCTCAGTTTAGTTCCACCTTGTTCCGTGACTTGAATCGTCTGTTGGGTTGTACCCACATTCGAACAACTGCTTATCATCCCGCTTCGAATGGCCTTGTCGAGCGTTTCCATCGACAGCTTAAAGCCGCCATCACAGCTAATTCACCTGATCCACATTGGTCTGAACGCATCCCAGCTGTCCTTCTTGGTATCCGTAATACCGTCAAAGAGGATATTGGATGCAGCCCTGCCGAACTCGTCTTTGGCACCACTCTCAGACTTCCAGGTGAGATGATTTTGGATTCCCGAGTCACTGGTGAGATAGATCCTGTGTCCTACGCCGAACGTCTCAAACAACACTTCCGAACAGTTCGACCTACGTCTACTCGCTTCACTGCCCGCGAACAACGAATTCATCCGGACTTACACACTTGTCCTTTTGTTTTCATTCGCATTGATGCAGTTCGCAAGCCGTTGACACCCCCTTATGAAGGTCCTTTCAAAGTGTTGTCACGGAAACCTAAATACTTCATACTGGAAAGGAATGGATCGAAAGAATCTGTGAGTATTGACCGTCTTAAACCCGCTTATGTTGAGCCTGCCGTTACTTTGACGGATCCCAAGTCGTTACCCCCTGTTGGTCAACCGACCGCTTCCAATGCTCCAGAACCTTCATGCGCTCGCCCAACGAATGATCCCAAACACACACGTTCAGGACGTTCTGTGTCTTTCCCCTCCAAACTAGCTGAGTTTGTTCCCTAAATAGCTATATCGAGCGTTACCTTACCAGTTCACGCTCTACGGGGGGAGTTATGTAGTGGTTATTAATCTTTCACATTTTGTCTTTCTTGTCATCAATTTTATCATGGCATCTTTTGTACAGTTTGTTTGAATTAATGATTAATATACACTTCTTCGCGCCCCGCGTTACGTCGTGCTGATTTCTGGCTGTGCTGCTTCTGCGTGTGTACGGTGCCGTCCAGTCTGCTTGAAAATCGGATAGTATATTCGGAATTATTATCGAACGTCTATTTCCATTGTGCTCGACGTGTGTCACAGGTATAGCGCAACCTACGACTCGAACTCGACTGTGATTAAACTGTGAGTTGACCCTCTCCAACTTTTTGCCTTTTTATTAAGGGGTTGAAACCTTCCTAGTATTTTTCGACCACTACAAGATACTTAGCCCAATTTCTAGGGTTATCCAGTCGACGAACCACCAATTGAGTATGAGTAGTTGTCCGCGTAGATCTGCACTTCAACCGCATTGAGCAGTGAAAAACCTTGTGAGCACTTACATAAATAAATATTTTTAGTCTCGCAAAAGCGCTGCACGCCTTTTGGGCGTGAGCAGATTAGTGCAGTTTGGTACGGGACAGCATAATGAGCAGGATCAATAGCATGAGAAATACAGATGTTGTCAGTAGTGTAGGCCCATATGGCTCGCATAGTGCGAGATGTGAAGATAAGAATTACAGAGATCATTAGATTGGAGTATGTTGGTGAGAAACTGGTCCGATGAGGTTGTGTACACAGTGCGGGTCGAGTGAGCGAAGCATAAGAACCAATCTATAAAAGCGTTTTAAGAATAGTGGCATGTCACTGAGAAAAGATGTACGTGTAGTTGTAGGAGATCGGATATGTGCACAGAACTTTTGCAATGTTTTGTTGGTCAACTTGCCAATGCGTGGTTGTTTACGCGACTTTATTGAAGGGCCACTAAGCTTTCCTTTCGGGATATTCATGGTGAAATCCACATCCGGAATACTTTCTGCTCTAGTCGGTAAAGAAACCTGCTGAGTCCATCCATCCAAGTTTATACAGGCAACTAGGCCTGCATGCCATGCTGGTGCCATGGATTAAAACTAGTTGACCTCTTCTGTTCAAATCCGCGGCCATCAGATTACTATTTTACGGGGTGCAAGGCTTGTTCGCATGTCCACCAAAAGCGAGTTATCATTAGTGTATGAACTATCAGTCGCCGTATAGATACAACCGAGAAACAATGATAGCCCATGAACTTCGGCAGAAACCCAAAAGCTTCAGAAACTACGTAAAGGTTTTAAGTGCGGAGGGCGACGGCAGAGCAATCCTCCTTCATATATATAGTGCGCCCACCACCCTCTCTTGTGTGTGCGATGTTAAGAAAAGAGACGGTAGCCGTAGAAATAGAATTCATCAAAGTATATTGGGTGAGCCAGTTTTCGGTGAAGAAAATCATATCTAGTTCGAACATGCATACCAGAGGACGAAGGATATGCGTCTTGTTATTCCGCGACCTGACATTTATCCTCCGAAGCGAAAATGTCCAGCTAGTCTCTGGGCCACCATGTGGAAGCAAACAATGCGATGCATGTTGGTGCACCTTCACACACCAACACAGGGGAGGGATGACCGAAGGTAGCCATCGAAACCTGATTAAATGCCACGACAATTGTAACGCGGTGGGCTGGTCCCGACGCACCCCGCAGAGGGATAAACTGTTAACCGCAGAGGGATCGGAAATGGAGAATAGCGAATAAAGTGCCGAATCTCCATAAGCAGAAACGTCAGGAGAGAGTTCAGGCAGGACAGATGGAAAATCCGCCAGCTCAAGGAAAGGGGTGGATACAGTGGGATCATTCGAGTCCGGTGAAAACCTAGACTTGGTAGAGCAAAATAGATAAGTTGTGTAAGCGGTGACTAGGTGAATTTGCTCACAATCGGCCAACGCAAAACGCAGCGTAAGTTGGGCAGCTGAACTCAGCCTATTAAATAAATAAATGAATAAATCTTTTATTCTCAACAAGGTGAGGCACGCCTTTACAGGCATGATCAGTTTGACATAACGATGCATGCTCAAGAATGTGCAAAAATCCGATATGTTTGCCATAGCAGTTTGTGTTTGTGTAGGGGTTGTGTATGTATGTCATTGTGTGTGTATGTGTATGTAGCTGTCTATTTTCTGCTTGTAGTTGTGCTGCTCCAATCTTTAATGCTTAATATCGTCATCAATATGCGAGTGGGAGATTGGTGTCCGTGGGTTGGGTAGAATTATCCGGATATCCACAGGGCAGTGCCTTTATATTGTGGCGAGTCACGACCGCCACGTTACAGGGTTGTTAAGCAGACATTTGTGGCTTTTTATAAGGAGAACGCTTGCCAGGCGAAACCCTCCACGTCCTGGAACATTGCCGCCGAAGTATTTGCTGGAACGGGTTAAACCCGAACCACCCAGCTGACACCAGGAGGAGGTTGTTCGGCTAGCCAGCCGGTTAGCTTCCTGCGCTTGCGGCTCCAGGCCGCAGAAGATGCCTACTGCCTGTTTAAATGCCTTAATAAAGACTGCGTCGGCGATGTTGAACACAAGTGTGCTGTGCCTCGGGTCGTGCCTCACAGTTGCAGATACCTGCCGTGGCTCAGGACATGTCACCTGCAAAATCGGAGTGCGGAGCACTGCAGTTGTAGGCGTTTTGTGGGCGGAATGTTGAATGTTTCCGTTTAACCGTAAACACATGTTTGAAACAGGATTGTGATACCGTTTTTAATACCTAGGCCTTGTTGAACTGCTTGAGTGAGGCATTCATTGTTTTCCTGACCGCATCGACCACATTAGGGTGAGCCTCAATCCGCGACCCTTGTGTTGGTGGCGCGAGATATGTCTGTTTGATAATGGAGGCTGGGCAAATTTTCTCACTATTGGCCACCACAGTGCATAGGTTGAGTTGGGCACTTAAGTTCGGCATAATGCAGCTTGGTAGCGACTGATGCGCTTTAGAAGCCGGTTCCCATCCAGCTTGTTTTAGACCCCAGAAATGTGTTAGCGCACGGCAAATTTGGGCTTAGTTTGAAGACGAGCTTAAGGCGCATGGTTGCTTCTCAATGTACGCGCAGGTTCTTGATTCTTTAAGTTTGGCCTGGCTGTTTGGAAGCTCAGCGCTTTCCAGCTCGTGATGTTCTGTCTTGTCGCTCTCTGTCCTAGCGGATGGTATGGGTGCTACCGCAGGTGCTACCTTACAGAATCGTGGAGGCAAAATATTACCGCAGTTGCACGTGTCATTTTATTGCTCAGCACTCATGTCTGTGTGCCTGCTATCGACCCGTAGCTCGGTTGCTAAATTAGTGTTATTTCAACCAACCATCCAATAGGGCTTTTGGATCCCTTCGAGTGGCAACACCAGTTTCATTATCCTTGAAGCACAGCCATTGTAGTTTATGTTGAAGTGCTGTTCCTCAACTATGTAGCTACAATATTTTCTCGAGTGCGTGTTTCGCGACGTTGCAACGCAGTTCTCGATCATGCTATTGCATTTTGTAAGAAGGAGAATTCGGTATTTCGGAAACACCTTGAAAGATAGGGATCCTTGCTTTCATTTATAGAACAGCTACAATGTTTGTGTTTATATATTGTCCGCTCTTTCCAAGCAACGTATGCCAGTATGCATACTCGCTCGACTTGTTATGACCATGAGCTTCTGGGGGTAGGACGCTATCCGTTACCTCTACTTAGTTCAAATTTACTAGAAAAAATCGAGGTTCACCATAGTGCACTCAATTTGCGTGCCACGCTGCGCGTCTCAGCAAAGCGGGCCCAGCCCAGAACTGAATGGTCCTGTAGATGGGATTCCACTGCTTTTGCCTTCATCTACTATTTTACTCTATATTGTGCCAGGTTTGAACTCAAAATTGTTAGTCCACCCGAGAATGAAAGCGCTCTGGTTCCGTCTAACGAAGGTAGGTTCGTGTGTTGCGGCTGGTAAATTGGCTAGTTTAGCGTGCTCCAAAGCATTTCACCAAAGAAGATCAGGCGTTTTTATAGTGGCGAACGTTACGCATATAACCCGGCTAAGAGCTACCGAGGTTGTGACCTACTCGCTGGGTGTAGCACTCACGAATGAGGTAAAGACAGTAACACCAAGTTCGACTTTATCGTCTGGAGGTTTAGTATGAGTCGGAGTAGATAGCATGAGCAGACGTTACAGTAACCCTAAGAGCCAGAGCTGAGGCATCTAATAAATAAATAAATTCTTTATTCTGGTGCAATGCGAGACACGCCTATTTTGGCAAGATCATGTTAAATGTTATACGAGGTCTTTCTTATTAGATTCCACTGATAATCTCCGGAAACTTTTCGACGTCTGGGCTGTTTCAGCCAATTTTCTTACTTTGCAGTGAGCCCCAGTTTATAAATAACCATTGGACTTGCTATGCGCATCAGTCAGGTTGCTTATTCAATTAAGTTCTAGCTGATTTACACCCTCACGATTCGGGTGGTAAGCTAGAGCTTTAGTTGAACAGGTGCCACACTTCCGATCACTAATGCGCATTTAGAATTATCACACATGCCGTTACATTGAATCATATAAAGCGACTGCAGCTGCCGTTGCAATGCAACGCCCCACCTGTTCGGTCACGCAAGGTAGAGGACGCGTGACCCTAACCTTCCTTGTCCCAGTCACAGTGTAGCGTCTGTTGTTGTTGTTGGATGTGTCACGGGAACGACACACATACAGACATTTTGGCTACCCTATGTCTCGACAGTGGTGCCTGTTTTGGCTTCGGCCGCTTAATTTGGCATAAAGAGGGCGAAGGTCAGAGACTAAGTGGCTACGATGGACAATTGCAGTGCGAACCCACAAAGTGAATGTCAGCTTCCTCAGAATTGCTGATGTAGGAATGTTTCTTTGAGTACCCAACAGCGAGGAGCATCCTTTGCCTATCGCAGTCCTATAGTGAGAATTGTTAATAAACTCAAAGGCTTAAGCGAATGTATATGAGCCCGATGGGTGCTAAAACTACTTCGATAACGCAAGGCAAAACCCGAAGACCATAATTCGTTAAACTTGTGCCCAGTGTATACCGGAAGTTCGTCCGATTCGTATTAATTTCTGATGACTGCCAGGTGATGAAGGAAATGAGAAAAGCTGTGCAGCCGTTAGCGGATGATA